CAGGCTTAGACAGAAAACAGAGCTGGGCATCGATGCTTCTCAGCTGGAGGCAAACAGTTAAATCGGGGGCCGTATAAACCCCCTTAACGGCTTGGGATCAGTTGAGACCTTCTCCCCCTATAAATTCCCATTTGGCCACTTCGATCCGTGACAGGTTAACACATGCTCTAAATTTGCAAGAATTTGCAAGTGCCTGTGTAACTCCCTGCCACTTCAAACTGCCAACCTTCTGATTGGCAAGTCCTAGGCTCTATGGTTTAACCCACAGTGCCAACTGCGTCCCTTTTGTGGAGAATACACTTAGATAAATAAAAGAGCAACCGGCCTCGCTTCTCCCCGTTTTCCTCGTGCAACCACTATGCGCCACTACCTTCCCGCCTGGGGCAGCGGCACCTTCATTCAGAGTAAGGACGAGGAGCCTCGTGTGGCCGGCCCCCTGACACTTTCAACTGGCCCTCGTGATCCCCCCTAGTCCGGCTGCATTGTTGTTGTTGTTTAGTCATGTCCGCCTCTTCGTGACCCCCTGGACCAGAGCACGCCAGGCACTCCTGTCTTCCACTGCCTCCCACAGTTTGGTCAAACTCATGCTGGTAGCTTCGAGAACACTGTCCCACCACCTCGTCCTCTGTTCTCCTTGCGCCCTCCATCTTTCCCAACAACAGGGTCTTTTCCAGGGAGTCTTCTCTTCTCCTGAGGTGGCCAAGTCTTGGAGCCTCAGCTTCAGGATCTGTCCTTCCAGTGAGCACTCAGGGCTGATTTCCTTCCGAATGGAGAGGTTTGATCTTCTTGCAGTCCATGGGACTCTCAAGAGTCTCCTCCAGCACCAGAATTCAAAAGCATCCATCTTTGGCCATCAGCCTTCTTGATGGTCCAGCTCTCACTTCCATACATCACTACTGGGGAAACCATAGCTTTAACTATACGGACCTTTGTCGGCAAGGTGGTGTCTCTGCACCCTCCTGTAAATGCAACCCCAACCCAAAAGCTTAGAAGTCTCCCGTTTCTACGCCGCTTCGCGTGAAACGAAAACCTCGCGGCAGAGAGACCAGATGCTTGATCGCACATCCGCCAAACACAGGGAGGGGGAAACCGAGGCAGAAATAGAGGAATCGAGGCACCGCCAGCAGGTACTTTCTGGGAAAGATTTAATTCTCTCCCGGGGCTGGCAGTAATGGATTCTCCCTCCTTAATGCACCGATGGGCAGGGTTGGCTCCTGGGGGAAGAGCCAGCCTCCAATTCACTCGCGCTCGTTAATGTTCAATTTAGTGGCACTTTAACGCTCGAGGTATGAAAAACGATCAGGCCCGGCTCGGCAGGCTTTCCCCCCGCCCCGCCCCTGGTTCTCCGCAGCCCCCACAGCTTCCCTCCCAGAGACCTCTCCCCCTTTCCTGCGGGGGAAATATATATATATATTTATCGACAGCCTGCTTCTGCACGCAGAAATCACTCTCCCGCCTTCGCCCGAAAGGAAAGAGCGATTAAGCAGAGTTTGGCTTCTTTGCAAAACCACAGCAAAGCGTTTCTTTGCACACACCCCTATAATAATAATAATAATAATAATAATAATAATAATAATGATAATACTTAGGCTACGGGTAAAATTAATCTGTAGGGACGCGGGTGGCGCTGTGGGTTAAACCACAGAGCCTAGGACTTGCCGATCAGAAGGTCGGCGGTTCGAATCCCAACAATGACGGGGTGAGTTCCCGTTGCTCGGTCCCTGCTCCTGCCCACCTAGCAGCTCGAAAGCACACCAGGGAAAGTAGATAAATAGGTACCGCTCCGGCGGGAAGGTAAACGGCGTTTCCGTGCGCTGCTCTGGCTCGCCAGAAGCGGCTTAGTCCTGCTGGCCACATGACCCGAAAGCTGTACGCCGGCTCCTTCGGCCAATAAAGCGAGATGAGCGCCGCAACCCCAGAGTCGGCCACGACTGGACCTAATGGTCAGGGGTCCCTTTACCTTTAAAATTAATCAGCAGACCAGAAACTGGGGTTTGGGCTGCGTTTGTGTGGAGCCACAGTGGAGCGTTGCATTGGCAAGTACTGATGTCCACAGTAGGATGGGGAAAAGGCGGCCTTTTGGGGTAAAAGTCATGTCTGAATTTAGCCCCTGCCTTCCGCTGGATTAAAAGATAATAATATTGGAGTTGTCTGGGCACAAACTCGGGAGTTTCAATGGACAAAACAAGGTTGTGATCCCCATGCATTTCTAAAGGTACAGCTATCTGGCAACACTGAGCGGGGCTTGTTTGGAATTTGAACCCAGAACCTCACATTTCCTAAGTAACAACAACAACAACAATTTATTATTTAAACCCTGCCCATCTGGCTGGGCTTCCCCCCAGCCACTCTGGGCGGCTCCCAACAGAATATTAAAAACACGGCAAACATCAAACATTAAAAACTTCCCTAAACAGGGCTGCCTTCAGATGTCTTCTAAAAGTCAGATAGTTGTTTGTTTCCTTGACATCTGGCGGGAGGGCGTTCCACAGGGCGGGCGCCACCACCGAGAAGGCACTCTGCCTGCTTCCCTGTAACCTAACTTCTTGCAGGGAGGGAACCGCCAGAAGGCCCTCGGAGCTGGACTTCAGTATCCGGGCAGAACAATGGGGGTGGAGACGCTCCTTCAGGGATACTGGGCTGAGGCCATTTAGGGCTTTCAAGGTCAGCACCAACACTTTGAATTGTGCTCGGAAACATACTGGGAGCCGGTGTAGGTCTTTCAAGACTGGTGTTATGTGGTCTTGGTGTCCGCTCCCAGTCCCCAGTCTGGCTGCCGCATTCTGGATTAGTTGCAGTTTCCGGGTCACCTTCAAAGGTAGCCCCACGTAGAGCGCATGGCAGTAGTCCAAGCGGGAGATAACCAGAGCATGCACCACTCTGGCCAGACAGTCTGCAGGCAGATAGGGTCTCATCCTGCGTATCAGATGGAGCTGGGAGACAGCTGCCCTGGACACAGAACTGCAACCTCAACGGACCCTGCTTGGCTTTGCAAGGAGTGGGGATTGCAAGGAAAGCACAGAAAATTGAATCTCTGTGGAGGAAGGAGGAAATTATTCACATAGGTCTCACTAAACCCCGTCGAGCACTCAGAGTTGAACCCTCATCCAGTTTCCGGGTCCGTAGCTCAGTGGATGAAGCATCTGTATTGCATGCTGAAGATCCTGGGTTCGAGTCTCGGGCTAGGGGAAGCACTCCCTGTGTAAAACCCCAAAGAGCTGCTACCAGTCAGTGTTGCTGCTGCTTCTTCGGCAATCCCTCGTAGCCAAGTAAGATTGTCTTCCATAAACACGGTTTTAACAGTGAGTCCGTAAGTGACTGCGGAGGCCAATTCTGGATCCCTACGTCCTTCCACAGTGGGGACATTGGTTTCGAGGCGGAGTAGATCCCGGTGAGGGTTTGCCAAGCGTGCCTTCCTCTTAGCACGTTTCTCCCTTGCGTCCTGAGTTCGAGTGTCTCCAAAGCCCATGACACCTTTGGGAAAGGCTGTTCTCCAACTGGAGCACTTGCAGGCCAGCGTTTCCCAGTTGCCGGTGTTTATACTACATTTTTTAAGATTTGCCTTGAGAGAGTCCTTGAACTTCTTTTGTTGACCACCAGCTTTCCATTTTTAAGTTGGGAATAGAGTAGTTGCTTTGGAAGACGACAATCAGGCATCCCCACAACATGACCAGTCCAACGAAGTTGATGTTGAAGAATCATTGCTTTGACACGGGTGATCTTTGCTTCTTCCCAGTACACTGGCATTAGTTCGCCTGTCTTCCCAAGGGATGTTTAAAAATTTTCAGAGACACCGCTGATGGAATCTTTCGAGCAGTTGGAGATGGCGTTTATAAGTAGTCCACGTTTCACAAGCGCGCAGTAAGGTTGGTCCCTGCTCCTGCCAACCTAGCAGTTCGAAAGCACGTCAAAGTGCAAGTAGATAAATAGGTACCACTCCGGCGGGAAGGTAAACGGCGTTTCCGTGCGCTGCTCTGGTTCGCCAGAAGCGGCTTAGTCCTGCTGGCCACATGACCCGGAAGCTGTATGCCGGCTCCCTCGGCCAGTAAAGCAAGATGAGCGCCGCAACCCCAGAGTCGGCCACAACCGGACCTAATGGTCAGGGGTCCCTTTACCTTTACCTTACGATGTATGTATGCTTCTTTTAAATTTTTTTTGGAAAATTAATTTTTAAAAATTGGGGGGGGGGGAGAAGTCTGTGGGTTGGAGATGAGCAAGAAGGATCCGTCGGCACGGCCAAGGCGATAACTCCAAAAGCAGCCATCCCCGAAAAAGCCCAGATCCTATTTGTCACGCAGGGGCTGTCAAGAGCCCAGAGTTACGAACCCTTGTTAAAAGGTGAGGGTTTGGGGGGAGAGCGAGAAGGAGGGGGAAACCCCCCCCCAAGGAGCGCAGACAGGCTGTTGGCAGCCGACCAGCAGCACCTGAAGTCAGCTGTAAATCTTGCCAGAGGAAATGAACAAGGGGGGGGCAGCGGTTGTGGGGTGTGGAGAGAGCTGGCAGCAGGAGAATTCCAAAAGGGAGCGAAATTAAAAAGACGAAGCGTTGTGGGGAGGACGACGAGTCGGAAAAAAGACCAGATGGAAGTTCTGCCAGATGGTCCTGCGCCATGCATAGGCTTATGCCCAGATCGGACGGGGGGGGGTGTCTTCCTACACACACACACACACACACACACCCTCCTCTGGACAGGCACCAGGTGCCAGGGCACAGCAAGGTGGTTTAAGAGCATGGGTAGGCAAACTAAGGCCCGCGGGGCCGGATCCAGCCCAATCGCCTTCCAAATCCAGCCCCCGGACGGTCCGGGAATCAGCGTGTTTTTACACGAGTAGAATGTGTCCTTTTATTTAAAATGCATCTCTGGGTTATTTGCGGGGCCTGCCTGGTGTTTTCACATGAGTAATAATAATAATAATAATTTTTCTTTATACCCCGCCCTCCCCAGCCAAGGCCGGGCTCACAAGCAACAATAAAAACAAGTTGAATGAATACAACTTAAAAACAAAATTAAAATACAACATTAAAATATTGAAACATTAAAATGTTAAAATGTGTGCTTTTATTTAAAATGCATCTCTGGGTTATTTATGGGGCATAGGAATCCGTTCATTTTTTTTTTCCTTTTCCAAAATATAGTCTGGCCCCCCACAAGGTCTGAGGGACAGTGGACCGGCCCCCTGCTGAAAAAGTTTGCTGACCCCTGTTTCAGAGTATCAGGGGGACGAGGAGCACGGTTCGAATCCTAACCCGCTTGGTCCCCCATAGCTGTCAACATTTCCCTTTTTTAAAGGGAAATTCCCTTATGCCGAATAGGATTCCTCGCAAGAAAATGGAAAAGTTGACAGCTACGGCTCGGTCCCTTGTGAGCATAGTTGTCAATCGTCCCTTATTTGGTGGGACAGTCCCTTATCCCAGCGCCGTGCCCCGCTGCTGTCCCTTATTGATGATGTCCCTTAAATTTCCCGGGTTTCGAAGGAAGCAGCTCCTCTCCCTCCCTCCCTGCCGGCCAGGGAGGAGGGAGGCTCCAACTGTGTTGCTTGGCTGCGTTGCTCACCCAATAAGGAGTCTAAGGACGACTGGGGGGTGGCGCTTGCATGCCTTGTGCCCATCAAATCGGCCGCGTTGCCTGGGGACTCCCCTTTGCTCAGCGCTTCCCAGCGGAGAGGTGACGGTGGTTTTCCTTGCTGCATCCCCTTTGCCGGGTTGCTGCGCTGTGGGAACCACCGCTTGAGGCTTCGTTTGGCTGCTGGCTGGGCTTTCTGCCTTTGGCTCGGAGGGGCTCAGAAGTCGAACATACCTGTGCTGGGAAAATCCCTTATTTTGGCTGCTGGTCCCTTATTTTCAAATCTGTAAGTTGACAGCTATGCTTGTGAGTAGCCTTACGGGGCCAATGGCTGACTCTCTCTCAGGCTGACTCTACCTGGCTGTTTTTTGGATGAAATTGCAAGGGGGGGAGAGGTGTGGACATCACCTGGGGCTCCTTGTAGGTGGGCCACAAATGCAACACATTAATGCCTCTGGGAAAGGTTGGAAGAGGAGCGTTGAAAGGCAATTGCTGCCTCTGAACGGTGGAGGGAGAACGCAGCCATTGTTTGTCGCCTCCTCCTCCCAGAATTTGCCTAAGCTTGTTTTGCAACTATTCTAGGCCATCGAAAGCACAGCAAAGAGGTAGCCAGTCTTAACCTCTCTTGGGAAGTGATGCTGCAATCTGGGGGCAGCCACAGAAAAGGCCCTGTTCTCTCGCACAACACTCACCACGCTTCTACGGTTGGCAGAGCCGAGAAAATTGTAAACAGCTTTAAAATGCCAGCAGGGGTGGATTTAAAACGAGCAGCCCAATAATAATTTGAATTGAGCGGAAAAGGACAAATAATAAATAGATTTAAATCGGATATGCGGCGATATTGGGCATAAGCAGATAGGCGAAGGGGAAGGGGTTTGATATTCTTATTTGGTAACTTTAACCGGATGCGTAAATTTGTTTGGAAAATGAGAAATAAAATAAGGCCGGGCGCCATTATACTGTCCGATTCCTGGGAAAACACGGGCGTACGGCAGCCCTAGGAAACGGAGTAGGCCCCCCAGCCCTTCCTTGGATATTGATTATTATTGATTACCATCGTTCGTTACATTTGTACATCCCCCTTCAAGTGTCCTCAAGGTTGTGGGGCTCGGAAGCAGACGCCAGAAATTGCTATTCTCAGCAAGGCTCGCTTGCCGTCTAGATTGGAAGATCTTTGGGGCAGAGACCCTGCATGATTTTGCTTCCCCCTACACACAGAGGGGCCTTATCAGATCAGAGCCAAACACATACATAGACAAACACATCTATAAATAAACACATCTATAAATAAACGTACCTGTTTGTGCATTTCAATGTTCAAACCATAGGACATTTCATAGTACTGCAAAACAAAGTTTTTTATTTTATCTTTCTTAAGAAAGAGAAAATTTCCTGTGCATATAAGAGTGCGGTAAGTCACGGCTTAAAGGTAAAGGGACCCCTGACCATTAGGTCCAGTCGTGGCCGACTCTGGGGTTGCGGCGCTCATCTCGCTTTATTGGCCGAGGGAGCCGGCGTACACCTTCCGGGTCATGTGGCCAGCAGGACTAAGCCGCCTCTGGCGAACCAGAGCAGCGCACGGAAACACCGTTTACCTTCCCGCCAGTGCGGTACCTATTTATCTACTTGCACTTTGACATGCTTTCGAACTGCTAGGTTGGCAGGAGCAGGGACCGAGCAACGGGAGCTCACCCCGTCATTGCGGGGATTCGAACCGCCGACCTTCTGATCGGCAAGTCCGAGGCCCTGTGGTTTAAGCCACAGCGCCACCCGCATCACGGCTTAGGGACCCTCTTTACACCATCATCTGACCCTTCGCCCCCCAAAAAACCCCCCACATTTGCCCCAGTATGGCACTTACCATGACATAATGCCTCTGGATTTCTGTTTTTTTCCGTGGCGAGTTTCTCACATTCCAGTTTCAAGCTGCAAAGAGAAGAGAACAGACATGGGAAGATCAAAAATTATATCAAAAATTACTGATCTGGTTATACCAGGGGTCGGCAGTCTAAGGCCCATGGGCTGGAAGCGGCCACGGAGGCTGTTTAACTGGCCCACGAACCGCACCCAAACTGAGCCGCATGCTCGGCGAGTCCCCACACGCTGCGCTAAACCGGCGCAACACGGCGCGACGACTCACATCCGCGGCGCCGGAAATTGCGTCTGCGCATGCCAAGATGCCGGAAATCGTGTCTGTGCATGTCCGCGGTGGCGGAAATCGCTTCTGCGCGTGCCCAGACGCCGGAAATCAGGTCTGCGCATGTCCGCGGTGCCAGAAATTGCTTCTGCACATGCCCAGATGCCGGAAATCAGGTCTGCGCATGTCCGCGGTGCCGGAAATCGCTTCAGCGCATGCCCAGACGCCGGAAATCACTTCTGCGCATGCCCAGTCGCCAGAAATCGCTCCTGCGCATGCCCAGACACCAGAAATCGCTCCTGCGCATGCCCAGATGCCAGAAATCGCTTCTGCGCATGCCCAGATGACAGAAAACGCGTCTGCACATGCCCAGATGACGGAAATCGTGTCTGCACATGCCCAGATGACGGAAATCATGTCTGCGCATGTCCGCAGTGCCGGAAATCACTTCTGCGCAGGTGCAATTTTCAGCGTCTGGGCATGCGCAGACGTCACTCTGTGCTGGTCCGGCCCACGAAGTATCTGCCCCCTTGCCGACCCCTGGGTTATACTATTAGAAATACATAGACAGGTCATTATGAACCCCACCCAGCCCAAAAAAGAACCTGGCCGTTTTACCTGTGGTACTGGTTTTGCAAGAACTGGAATTCCTCCTTGATCCGGTCCAAAATCTCCGGGTAGGTCAGCTTCAGGGACTGAGGGGCCGTCGAGACGACGCTGGTTGCGGCGGCAGTGACCACGGGCGCTGCCTGCAGGTGACCCTGGGAGAGACAGGTAGCAGAAAGGCCAATCACCACCGACGTCGGACCAAAACAGGAGCTCGCCGGGTCTTCGGAGTGCTCACAGTGCAGCGTAGCCGGAGGGTCCCCTAGGACATCCATACCAACCCCACCACAACAAGCGGTCGCCCAACCTCAGAGAGAGATTGTCGCACCCTGATTCCCAGCTTGTCAAAAAAGGTTATATATATATGCCCCCACTGCGCCCCCGTGTTTCATGAGCCCCCCCAAAATGTAAAACGAGCGAAAGGAGAATGGCAACTTCAGTTGACGGAATATGCACAATTCGCAGATTTAACATATAGAATAAGAGAACAAGAAAAACATACGTTTGGAGAAGATTGGAAAATGTTTATTGAATGTATGGGGGAAAATAATTGTGTACAGCTGAAAACGCCGGCATCCTCAAGATAAATTCAACAGTGTACAGTGGTACCTTGGGTTAAGTACTTAATTTGTTCCGGAGGTCTGTTCTTAACCTGAAGCACCACTTTAGTTAATGGGGCCTCCTGCTGCTGTCGCGCCACTGGAGCACGATTTCTGTTCTCATCCTGAAGCAAAGTTCTTAACCCGAGGTACTATTTTCTGGGTTAGTGGAGTCTGTAACCTGAAGCGTATGTAACCCGATGTACCACTGGAAATAAGTTTTGATTGATGCAACGATGGAATACTTGAAGGGTACAGTTCTTGCAAAATATGGAGGGGTTTATGGTATGCAAAACGAACCATGGAAAGAGAAGAAGGAAAGTCATTGATATCTTAAGGATGTGAAATGAGTATTTTAAACGGTAAAGGCTCACCTTCTGGGGCCAAAATCACGTTGGGAAAATTAAGGTGCGTGTTATAGATTCGATGGTGCATTTACATTCGCCAGCAAATACTTTTTTGTTTTCGAGGTTCTGAAAGTCGGGGTGTGCTTTAGACTCGATGGCACATTCGAGAAGCTTTTAATGTTTGATACATTACTGTATTTTAATATTTTGTTGGAATCTGCCTAGAGTGGCTGAGGAAGCCCAGCCAGATGGGCGGGGTATAAATAAATTATTATTATTATTATTATTATTATTATTATTATTATTATTATTATTATTATTATTATTAAAGGGACCCCTAACCATTAGGTCCAGTCGTGGCCGACTCTGGGGTTGCGGCGCTCATCTCGTTTTATTGGCCAAGGGAGCCAGCGTACAGCTTCCGGGTCATGTGGCCAGCATGACTAAGCCGCTTCTGGTGAACCAGAGCAGCGCACGGAAACGCCGTTTACCTTCCCGCCAGAGCGGTACCTATTTATCTACTTGCACTTTGACGTGCGTTCGAACTGCAAGGTTGGCAGGAGCAGGGACTGAGCAACGGGAGCTCACCCCGTCGTGGGGATTCGAACCGCTGACCTTCTGATCAGCAAGCCCTAGGCTCTGTGGTTTAACCCACAGTGCCACCCGCGTCCCTTGTTGCCTGATAACCTAGAGCTAAAAATCACAACGACTTGGGACCTAGCTCTGCCTGATGAGCTACGGCCTGGCTGCTTCAGCCAGCTGGGCAGGGAAAGAGAGAAAGGGAGGGGGCCGGAACTTTGGGATACGGCCCCCGCCAGATTTAACTCCCCTGGGAAGATGGCCCTCTTTACTTACAGGGAGAAGGCTGATCACTTGATTGATATAAACCATTCTTTGGTTTTATTGCAAAACAATTAAGGAAACATGCTGTTTGCAGCTTCAAGTAGTTTTGTTTATAGATCAAAGTATTTCTAAGCCAACAACTCCTTTATATATTTATATATATATGTAACGATATGGATATTGATATCAATATAAATAGCAGCGTACAACAAAATAAAATAAAAAAATCATAAAACACAGAACCAGTGACCGACACTTGTTTATTTTTATCTGGGGGGGGGGGTAGAAATATATAGATAGATCTCTTTTCGCTCTGTTGTTTTATTACCGAAAAGAATTGAATATCCCTGGTTTGATCAAAAGCAGGGGAGAGGACTGTCCAGAAAAAGGCCTTTACAAAACCTCTCCTCACCACACACACACACACACACACAAAGTTATCGTATTTTTTGCTCTATAAGACTCACTTTTTCCCTCCTAAAAAGTAAGGGGAAATGTGTGTGCGTCTTATGGAGCGAATGCAGGCTGCGCAGCTATCCCAGAAGCCAGAACAGCAAGAGGGATTGCTGCTTTCGCTGCCCAACGATCCCTCTTGCTCTTCTGGCTTCTGAGATTCAGAATATTTTTTCCTTGTTTTCCTCCTCCAAAAACTAGGTGCGTCTTGTGGTCTGGTGCGTCTTATAGAGTGAAAAATACGGTAACTGTGCAAGTTTGCAGCATGTGAAATTTGTTGGTCGTTAGCATTTTGAAAGGCGAAAATCAGGCCCAAACCGACTATGCTTAAGACGGTTTGGCGGCCTCCTCCCTTTCCAAAGAATTAGGAAACAGACATTTTCCACGGGACCTTTAAATCGGGGGGTAAACTCACCGGTGGCCGGTTTTGAGGGAACATCCTTCGAGCAAAACCATAGGAATGTTGTTTCTGCAATTTCGCTCGCGATCCTGTTTTTCTGCTACGAACCAAACCCTGGTCACCTGTAGAGAAGCAAATTTTGAACCAGGAACCGATGGGCCGCACCTGATCAAGCCTTACTCAAGAGTAAAAAAGGTAAAGGGACCCCTGACCATTAGGTCCAGTCGTGACCGACTCTGGGGTTGCGGAGCTCATCTTGCTTTATTGGCCGAGGGAGCCGGCGTACAGCTTCCGGGTCATGTGGCCAGCAGGACTAAGCCGCTTCTGGTGAACCAGAGCAGCGCACGGAAACGCCGTTTACCTTCCCGCCAGAGTGATACCTATTTATCTACTTGCACTGGTGTGCTTTCGAACTGCTAGGTTGGCAGGAGAAGGGACTGAGCTCACCCCGTCGCAGGGATTTGAACTGCCGACCTTCTGATCGGCAAGCCCTAGGCTCTGTGGTTTAACCCACAGCGCCACCCGCGTCCCAGATATATACACCCCCAATAGCCACCCAGATTTGCACGTTTGCTGTGTTTTTTATTCCCAATGGAGGCAGGAATTTGCAGAGCTCTGTCCCTTACGGGGAATCGAACCCGCAACCTTGGCGTTTATCAGCACCGAGCTCTAACCGACTGAGCTATCTTTCCTTGCGGTTCACGGGCTAAATGACTCCTGGGGGGGGGCTTCCCATTCGAAAATAGTATCAGATCTCCAAGCAGGGAAAATGCCCTTTTTGACACTTGCTTTCCTCTAACAGCGTGGGGGATGGGAATGCACTTTGCGCATGCTCAAGGGCAGGTGATGGGAATGCATTTTGCACATGCTCAAGGGCAAGTGATGGGATTGCACTTTGCACATGCTCAAGGGCAGCCTCATAATTCCTTCGGCTGGGGAGGGGGCAGCAAGCAGGGAAGGAGGTTAAATAGAAGTTTAAACCCCTGCGTAGCAGTTGGCAGTGGCTTGGTTTTTTGGGGGGGGGTGGCTCCCAAGAAAAAATGAGTGCCCCCCCTGCAAGTAGGTGGTCCTCACCCCCGGGAAATACAGGTGAGTTGGCAGGTTTGGGGGCAGAGAAGAGGGGGAAATCAAATAGACGCAAATGGCTATTTTTTTGGGGGGGGAGGCAGAAACCAGCATAAAGCCCTAGGAAAGGACAATTAGACCACAACTAGGGAGAAAACTTCTTTCCCCCCCCCCAACAACCCCCCAATGCTCTGCTTAAAGTAACCCCCCCATTAAGTTCTCCCCCCCTCACCAGATGCCCGTTTTGAGTCCTTCTCTTTTTAACTGCCCAAGAAACTCTCATTACCCCCCCCTTCAAAAAAAAAGAAGAATAGATCCCACTTCCTCCTCTACTGGCTTGCAGTCCCCCCTCTCACCGCGCCCCCCACCCTGGCCAAAAAATCCCACCCCGGTACTCATTTATAATCTCCCAGGCCGAACAAAAGGGTCTCCTTCTTTTTCTAGCAGGTAGGAAGAGAGGGGGGGTGGAATCAGACATCAGGAAAAGGCCCCTCCTGCCTTCTTCCTCTCGGCTAACGCCCCCCCATCAAACCTCAGCGCCCCCCCCCGATAAAGGCACTCACCAAACCACTGCAAGCCAGGATCGGGCCCCCCAGGAG